GGAAAATGGAGGCAAAGAAGTCGTTAAATAGGTTAGCTTTGTCGTCTGGTGTGATGACCAAATTTCCTAGCATCAAGAAGTATGTCCCATTTGTTAAAACTGGAGGGAGACAGAGAAAGAGGAATGTATAAACCAGCAAAATATCACCCAATATTTCATTTCGCTGCCACCTACAATTAGCTAAAATGAGATGTACCATTTCTACAAAGAAAATAGAGTATATACCATCATATCTATACAACACAGTGCTCCGAAACAACCAGAACATGCCCATAAGTCATGCCAGCATGTCCCTGAAAATAACTTATCCTACAGATGCACAACTTTACTGTTTAAGTGAGCTTCTAGCTGTTAAGGTTGTGAGGGGAAAAAAAGCTTTAAAAATGTGAACTGTATGCAGCAATGAAGCAGTTTTGGACAACGGCTCTGAGAGGTATGAACTTCTGCATGCATCTCCACGATGATGATTTATTGTCAGCATCATGAATTGTTTCACCCCTTACCTCAGAAAGGGGAGGTAGGGTTGCAGATCTATGCAACTTACTCTGAAATCTGATTTGGATGCCCATGAAGGGCTGGTATTTAGGAGATGCCACCATTTATTTTAATTCCCTGGTCAAGGAGGAGTCCAGCTGAATGGGTTTGGCAGGGCACATTGCCATATTGGAGACTTGCAGAGGGAGAGGTGAGCTCAGGAGTACATGCTGTCAGATAGTGAACATCTCCCAGTCTACTGGGCACAGCGTCTCCTTACGTGGGGTAGCACATTTGCAGAGATGCCTTGGAAGCATGGTCTCCTTTTCACCTCAATTCACAACCTGCATACACAAAAAGGGGTGAAGCTATATCAGGATTCCTGAATGCTTACCAACATGGACCTACAAGTCCAGGTCCTCTTTAAGCACCAAATCTCTGACTGCAAGCCTGCATTTTTAAATGTGTCGGTGCTATTCATGACTAATACACAAGACGCTAGCATGGGCACCCCGCACAGAGAATCATTTATCTCGTATCCAATCTGACACTCTCATTGGCAACCACTTTCTTACATAGAGCCACTTCAAGCACGATCCCACAGAAACTGGCATAAGCTTGCTCTTTGCATATAAGGATCTCAAGCTACATTCATCGGTTAAGCTGCACAACCCACTTGTGAGAAAAAAGAGGCCAGGAGGGGTAAGGTGAGTCACTTATTGCCACTGAATAAGTTAAAAATAGAACCGGGGGTCCTGAATCCCCATCCACTGCTCCAACGACTTAACACTGCCATGAGTCTCAAACCTCCAGGGTCCCACGCTCCCCTGCAAGATACAATTAGTACCAAATATACTCCCTTCTTCACTGCCTTGCACTTTGTGTGCTGACCTTACTTTACACAATGACAAAAATGCAATGTGCAAACCAATGGAGAATCAAGCCTCTTTGGCTTCAC